TGCCGGGAGGGCTCTGTCCGTCAGTCCCCGTGGTTGAGGTCATAGCACCCTCGTTGGTCTCCACATGGTGGTTGTTGTCATTGTTGTCGACATTCAACCCTCGATCACGATTGCCCAACGGGTCACAGGTTCGTTATAGTCGAAACGGTTCGCGGAACCCTTGCTATGCATGGAGGATCGATTACCTCCGGTCCCGCTTATGATTCTTCTCATAACCATTCACCATTCCTCGAGTTCGGATTAGGAAAGTAAGGGTCGTCCGGTAAGTAGGATTTTTGCTATGCCGTATTTGCGAGAATAGAAGTGGAGGAGATAAGTACTATGTGTCTAACTCTATTATCACTTACTTATAGGGGTGATCCTTATTAGTTACTTTTGTAATGACATAGTGCATACTAATTACATATAACAAGATACGATAGACCTTTGAATAAGTGATCCCACTCTAGGTCCACATCCAAACAAGGAAAAGGAAGTAAAGTAATGACCACAAATTCTAAGTCTATAATTTCTAAGTTATATATAACCTTAAAGTATCCACTTAGGGACTATAGACCTATTATTAAGGATCTATTTAGTTTTCATATAAGTTATGATATTACAAAATACTCCTATAGTATTTTAAACTCATGTTCTATTCTAATGTTCTCATTGTGGTAGTGTTGGTAAGTTTTTAGACTTGTTGCCATATCACAACTATTCTTGGGCATGTGCTAATCACTCCTCGGACCAGCATAGTTGATCAGGCTATGCCACTCCCAGACTGACCATACATCCCCGAGCTTACCTGTGATATTCAACAATCATTACTTTTGTTTTGTTCTAGAGTGGTGCTGACCTTAATATGTATGTATGCATGTATACCTTTAATAAGAAACTATTTATTTCTAAAAGTATAGTTGTTTTGAAACTTTAAATCAGAGACTTAGTCCCAATGCATTTATAGTTTGTATATCTTATGTGGTTTGATATACTGAGTTCACTATAAACAATGCTCTGATACCAATCTGTCACACCCCCAAACCAAGGATGGCGGAAACGTCCGGGGGTGGAGGACTTCATGTAGAGTATCACAACAATGAGTATAATAGTGCTCAAAGTAAATACAACCAACACAAATATAATTGAAAACGTTACATCAAAGCACATGTTTACATGATTCACATCAATTACATTATGATACAAAATGAACTGTTTGACGATTTATCGTCCCATCCTCAAAACGTTGTTGATTTCCTGTTTTCACTGAATTCCTGAGAATACAAGTAGTTTTGAAAAGTGTCAACACAAAGGTTGGTGAGTTCATAAGAGATTTCGTTAGAAAAGTAAATCGTTTTCCTTGTAAAAGCGTTAGAATATGTATCCAGAAAATCCGATATTTTCTTTAAAATCTGTGTAATGTAGTCTTATGACTGAAGACCAAAATGTATAAGTAACCTTTCTTATTAATAGAAAATGTTATGTACTTAAATGGACATGGACGCGTTTGAATTAAATGAAATTTCTGTATGTTCTCATGTTTGTTAATACTTTATATATATGTAGTCCTAAATTAGAGGACCGAAATAACAAGTATTGACCATACTTAAAGTATAAATGTGGTTTCAAATGATGTGTAGTCGTAACTACCAAAACCAAAAGTGTACAGTAATATCTGTACTCATAGAGATAAAAAGTGATTTTAAATCGACATAAAACTCATTTAGGCTTTAAAAATAAAATCCCGTAAACTATTGGATTGTTATAACCCTATGTGAGTCGCTATAATCATACTATGACTATGTGAACCTGCCACGACGTTCTCAGGCGTCGCGAAAACTGAAATGACATTTGTCACCCGTAGACCTGCAGGTCCTACTGTAGCTAGCAGCAAGGTGTGGGGTGTCAAACCCAATATAGATCTATATACAAGTATCACGTTCTCCTCAAGGAGATTCTGATTATAACTACCAGGAATTATATCCCGCACTCGGACGTACGGGGAGAGAGAGAGAGAGTCTCACAATATAGGTTAACAAGTTTACGTGAAATGTGTGTGAATATAAATCTTTTCTGTATGAATGTACCCTTTTGTACGAGTGTGTTGAGTGATGTATCATAAACTATACCTATTATAGTTTATCTAAAATGTATGTAATATGTATGAACTCTTTTATGGAAATGTATTAGTGTTATGAATTTATTAAACTATACTTTTATAGTTTAATATACGTGTTCTAAAATGAATGATAATATTTATTATGAATGACTTAGTTTCATTTTATGATGAAACTAACAAGGAAACACATTCAATAATTAGAACTTATGATTATACACTTTGCTCAACATAATACAAAGTGTTATGATATTTACATGCTGTTGGCTAACTTTAGCCATTCTGCCATGTTTTGGAAAAATCATAGAAAAATCATACGAAGTGAAAACTAGATCCGTAAATTCTGAGAGTTCACAAAATGTGTCTAGTTTACTCATAATTTTTATCACGATTTTTAATGACCTCCAACTTGGGTGAAAAGTCCAAATCACAGACTGGTCCGGATTGTTGTTTGAAATGATAGGCAGTTTTGTAAAAATCACCATAAATTGTAGAAAAATCGTATGGAGATGTGCAAGTAGTCATTTTAAAGCTAAAAACTTGAACTATTTGCACCTTGTACAGTTTTGAAAACAAAAATGTTTAAGATGCCCAAAACAGTCGTGAATGGAGTTGAACTTTTCTGATGAAGGCTGTTAGAAAAATTTAGTTATGTTCTTAGTGTTTTAACTTGTATCCCCCCCCCCTGAAAACTTGAGAAAACATGAAAATGTAGGGGTATGAACTCACCTTGAGTGATTTCAGTAGATAAGTGTTGAAGAAGAGAAGTGTTCAACCCAAGAACACTTGAAGAATCACTTGAAGATTCGAAGCTCTAACACAAATATAATGGAGTTTGTGTAAGATATCCATGATTTGAGTGGAAATAAGTGAGATAATCATAAAGAGAATGGATTATGCTTACCAAATGTGGAGGAAAAACTCAAGATCAACCCTTGAATCTCGAATTTCTAGAGAGAGAAAATGAGAGAGGAAAGAGTTTGATCTTCTTGTGAAATGAGAGCAAATGAGAGGAGTGAGGAGAGAGGATGAATATTCAGCTCTCAAAAACGTGGGAAAGAGTGATAATTGAGTGGAAAGGACATTGATGTGACCTAGGTAAGGTGGGGAGGTGTGGCTGGTCATAGAGTGGGTGTGGGAGTGGTTGCTTGTGTCATAAGGTAAAGCAAAGTCAACACTCCACCTCTTTGTACTTTACCCACTTGTTTTATTATTTAAATAAAGATTTTTATGAAAATATGATTAAATTGTGAATATTTAGGGTTTATTATGTTAAAATATGAGTTTTGGGTGAAAATCCCGCGTTAAAATAATTAAAAACGGGCCTTAAACGTAAAACTATGCGAAAACCAGGAGAAATTGAGTTCCCAGCGAGACCTCTCGGTCCTAGGCCGAGACTCGATCCACGCTGAGGATTGTAGCCAGAAACGAACAGAGGGTAACGAAGGGCGAGGAAGCGAGAGGAGAAGCGAGAGGCGAAGGCGAGGGTTCGGTCCGGAGTGAAAGGCGAGAAGTCAGACCCGAAATTGACCGAATGAACAGTAGTGAACAGTACCTTCGGGTTCGGGTGCTTCTGCGAGGTTCGGGCCTGCAAGAGTCTTTCGGGTTCGGTTCCTCCTGGGCGAGGTTCGGCCCTGAGAGGAGCTTTGGCTCAGGAGGGTTCGGTTCCTTGCTCTCAGGTTCGGCTCTCTTTCTCTCGGTCCCTAAGAGGACCTTCGGGTCCTAAGAAGCTTCGCCTCTTATAAGAGGGTTTCGGTTCCTAAGGTCCATTTTTCTCGTTTTTACCCCGTTTTAAGCCGTTTTTGACCCAGTTAAGGGTCGGAATGACCCGAATGATTCTAAAAAGTTACGGGAAGCTTTTGAGAGAGATTTGGGAGAGATTTCACATACTTGGAGAGATTTGGGAGAGATTTGACATTCTTGGAGAGATTTCTCATACAAAGAGATATTTGAGAGAGGTTTCACATACTTGGAGAGATTTGGAAGAGATTTGACATTCTTGGAGAGATTTCTCATACAGAGAGATATTAGAGAGAGATTTCACATACTTGGAGAGATTTGGGAGAGATTTAACATACTTATAGAGATTTCTCATACAAAGAGAGTTTTGGGAGAGGTTTCACATACTTAGAGAGATTTTAAATAGAGAGAGATAGAGTGAAAATGATTGAGAGAGGTTTCGAGTGTGGCATTTGTGAGTGTCCGGCTCCGCAATGCAAGGTCCGTAAACACTGGTAAGCCTTGTTTAAGGATCTTACACACTCCCGATGAGTATGCAACATTGTTTTATCGGTTTGGCTAGCCACGTACCACAGTTTTCGATTAACGGGATCTAGATGTTCGCACTTTTGATTTATGATCTCTCATTAGAATAGAGAGTTATGTAGAAATTTCATAATGTAAATTCTAGTACCCAAGGGAAAATTGAGTCAAACAGTTTGACTTGTTGACTTTAATTGACTTTGTCTTGACCGAAATTTGACAGTTGTCACATTCATTGACAAAGTACATAGTCACAAGGTGCTAAAACTCTCAAAAGCTCTTTATGGTTTACGAAAGCCCCTCGAGCATGGAACATTCGCTTGGATAAAAGCCTAAAAGGACTTGCTTTTTCGAAATGTTCACAAGACACGACGATGTACAAAAGGAACTCAAAAGGAAAAAATCTTTTAGTTGGTGTCTATGTTGACGATTTGACCGTTACCGAATCAAACAACGAAGACATTATCAAATTCAAGGACCAAATGAAAAAAGAATTCGAAATGAGTGACTTGGGTTTACTTTCTTACTACCTTGGAATAGAAGTGGCACAAAAGAAGTGGGAATTTCTTTATGACAAACGGCTTACACAAAGAAGATTTTGGATCAATTTGGGTTACTAGATTGCAACCCTGCAAGTTCACTGATGGAACCAAAGTTGAAAGTCAAGAAAGACGAAGACGGTGAAAAAATTGACCCGACCGAATATAGACGAGTAGTGGGATGTTTGAGGTACTTGACGCATACTCGACCAGATTTGTCGTACGCGGTTGGAATTGCAAGTCGTTTCATGGAGCAACCCACCACTTTGCATTTCCAAGTAGTAAAACACATTTTACGATATGTCAAAGGAACCATTGATTACGAAATCAACTATGGAAAGGGTTGTGAAGTTGAAGACTTGGTTGGGTTTAGCGATAGTGATCATGGTGGTGACAAAGTTAGTGGAAAAAGCACAAGAGGGATGATTTTCTACCTAGGAAGAAATGTGGTGACATGGCAATCTCAAAAACAAAGGACCGTTGCTTTGTCAACATGCGAAGCCGAGTTCATGGCAGCCACGACAGCGGCATGTGAAGCCATTTGGCTTAGTAATATCGTGAAGGAGCTTACAGGTGATCATGTTATGCCTATCACATTGTATGTTGACAACAAGTCAGCAATTGAGTTGATGAAGAATCCCGTGTTTCATGGTAGAAGCAAACACATTGACATTCACTATCACTTCATAAGAGAATGTGTCGAGGAAGGGAAAGTTATAGTGGAACATGTCGACTCAAAGGAGCGAGCAGACATCTTTACAAAGGCCTTGACACAAGTGAAGCACGGCGAAATGCAAAATATGATCGGTGTGACAGATATTGAACTTGGTCCGGTTTAAGGGGGAGAATGTGATATAAACCTGACCACACACAAAGTCAGAAACATCTTCCTTGTTTCATGGTAGGCGTGACTTTAGTTTTTCCTATGTTTGAAAATAAGCCATACATTTGGTAGAATAATAAATTTGGTTGCAACTATCCATGACTTTTACCAAGTAGTTAGGATTTTTAAGCTTATATAAGAAGCCGAATCGTAGGTTTGAAGGATAGAATATATCCTATACTGTAATTTATCTTTCAAATATTTTATCAACAATAGCTTTTTGGCAACATCTCCATGCATATCCAATTTATTTAGATAACATCTGAAACTCATATTTGTTTACAAAACTTTAGCTTTCTTGCATACAAATTATTTTATAAATTTCAACATAAAAATCGAAAATATATTACCTTTTTAAGTCATTATCCCTTAGGTTCATCTCCATGTATTTTCATTTTTATGCATTTCATAAAATAAAAATTATATATATTAACTTTCATATTTTCATTTTTTTTTCTCTCTTGCATTCTACGATTTGTATCAATTTTTATAGTAGGGAAAAAAAAAATAAGTCAATAGATTGTCAATTTAGTTAATATCAAAAATCAATAGTCAGTTTAGTTAATATCAAAAATCAATACTTCAATGAGATGTCAATTTAGTTAATATCAAAAGATAACAATGCCAACGGACAACAGAGGATCAATCATGAAAACACTATACATAAAACGACATAAATAATGATACTCATGATTATCAACGCAGTGAATAATATCTTATATTGAAGATAATATCCAGTGGGATAGTGTAGAAGCCACACAAGACTGAGAAGATGGCCCTCGTTAGTATGTCTCCATGCACACCTGAGTATGACCGGAAAGCTGAGCTCACAGCTTTTGACCAAACCAAAACTGGTGTCAAAGGACTTGTAGATGCCGGAATAACGGAGGTCCCTCGGATGTTCCATCTACCCTCACCTGAAAACCTAAACTCCAATCAACCCTCACACTTAGAGCTTAGTCTTCCGACCATCGATCTGGAAGGAATCAACGAAGATCCTATCCGGAGAAAGGAGGTGATCGAGAAAGTGAAGGATGCATTCGAGACTTGGGGTTTCTTCCAGATTGTGAATCATGGAATTCCTGATAGCATGTTGGAGGAGATGAAAAAAGGTGTTTTAGGGTTTTTTGAGCAGGATAGTGAGGTGAAGAAACAGTGGTACACTAGGGATCGTAGCGGGAAGCGTAAGTTCGTGCACCACAGCAACTTTGACTTGTACACTGCAGCGGTGACTAACTGGCGAGACTCTTTCTTTTGCACAATGGCTCCTGATACTCCTCAACCAGACGAGTTGCCATCGCCTTGCAGGTATGCTTTTCAATCTATTTCAGTGAAAAAGATGGTGTCGTGAAACTAATGAGTGGTGGGTAATGGATCACAATCAACATTTGGATAAGGGAGCATGTTTTTTGATTGTGAAATCTTTTTGGTTTAGTCATCACCAACTTATTAAAAGCTCTTGCTAAGTTATAACTTAGTAACTTACAAAAATTTATAAATACCTTTTTAAAAACTTCATCTTAGTATTAGCTAATAAATTAAGTTAAAAAAAAATAGTAATCATTTTAAATAAGTATTTCAAACACCCCTAAAAACATAAAAAATCGAAAGTATTCGATTTTATTTCATTGTTTGTTAACTAATATATTAACCATCAAATATATATGGATAATCTAATATTCTGAAATATTTGTAGTCTAATTGTTAATTACGGCAAAGCTTGTCATAATATTATACAGATAATTATTTTAACATAGCGTGATTATACGTAAACCGATCCTAAAAGGGTTACATATAATTCAAATTCAGATTGTAAGTTCTAACTATTCCATATTTTTGTTACCTTGGGATTTATCTGTAGAGATATTTTATTGGAGTACACAAGACAAGTGATTAGACTCGCAGGTTGTCTATTGACATTGATGTCAGAGGCTCTAGGGCTCAACCCAAATCATCTTTTAGACATCGGATGTGGCGATGGGCTTGCTGTCCTCGGTCATTACTATCCTCCTTGCCCACAACCAGAGTTAACCATAGGCACCCCGGACCACACTGACAACGATTTCATCACGATTCTTTTACAAGATCATGTCGGTGGCTTTAAGATCTTGTATCAAAACCAATGGACCGATGTTCGTCCTACACAAGGAGCTCTTGTAGTGAATGCTGGAGATCTTTTACAGGCATGCATTTCTCTCTATCTCAAGCTTAATATCGTCGCAATATTGGTATGCAACTACGTAAATTAATATTTTTTATATGAAGTGTTGATCTTTTTATGAAAAAATTTATCATTAAATATTAATATTTCATACCAAAGAACTTCTGGCCCTATCGTATTAGGAATTAACAGAAAGATCTCATCAACCAAAGATGAGGGTTCTGGATGAAAGGTGTAGAGTATGTGTGACTTGGCGATTCTAAGAAGTTATAATAATATTACATATATGCTCATCCACTACTTGCATACCCTACTTTTTTTTTTTTTTTAATTCGGCACTGATTACAATCAATGGAATAATTTAGCTAGTTACAAATGACAAGTTTGTGAGTTCACGACACAAGGTGGTGGCAAACAAGGTTGGTCCAAGAGTATCAGTGGCATCATTCTTTATGAGTGAGACCTTGCAAGTTATTGAACCAATCAAGGAGTTGCTTTCGAAAGATAATTCGGCCAAGTATAGAGGCACAACAGCGAAAGAATATGTGGATTACTACAGAGCAAAAGGAATTGATGGTACTTCTGCTCTTTTGCATTTCAAGATCTAGATCAATTAACCATCAATTGTTGATTTAGCACTACATGATGAATCTTTTATTTTCCTGTTCCTCTTATGTCATGTAATGTAATCTATCTTAAAGATATTTTCTTTGTTTTTGTGTGATATTTTGCAAAACTATGGTGTTGTTATATTATTTGTAATGGGCAAACAATTTACAAATGCAAGCTTAAATATTGAACACTTCAAAGGATTAGCAAGTTCAAGTAGGCTAGAAGAGTATTTTGTAAGAATAATTAAATGTAATCAACACATAAAAACAAGGGAAGAGAAGAGAAAAAAAAAAACGGATATTTACTTTGCTGGATGTTTAAGCTTTATTAATAAGAGAAGGGGATATTCCTAACATATGTGCCTTTTATACTATAGTTTAAAAGACTCGTTATACTAATAATTTGAAATTTGAAACCTAATTAGACTCTAAAACGTGCCGGAATAAACTTAAAAGAGTAATAAAAAAGGAAACTTTCCTATTGCTAAAAGTCGATTAACCCAACAATCACCCCCCTTAATCGGTTTGGTCATACCATTCATTCATAGTAGTGTTTAATCACCTTCTTTATACGTCATTGAACTCCTTATTTAACCTTCGACACCTCGTTCTCTCTTTTGACAACCCCGACCTCTTTAATCAAGCTTATTCCGATAGCATTTTTCTGCCAAACAACAAGACAAGTTCACAAGAATCTTTATTGTCTTCCGTCACCCGTAAAATGAACCAAATAAAATCCACCCGCTTTGATGTCTTCTAGGGTCGATTATTGTCTGCATACAGTTTTTGTGGTGGTGAATGGTGAGACAAGGTGTCCAGGTAAGATGCAAGATGCAGGCGTCCAACAACAACGATGAGCGAGCTAGCGAGTAGCGACAATAAGGGCGGAAGGTTTAGATACAATGGATTTTGACTTCTATCTTGACTTTTTGGCTTAGAAATCGGACTACTGGAGAAATCAAGAAGGTCCACAATAGGATTAGTGGAGAAATCAGGAGGGGCCACAAGCCCACAACTCAATTTTGACAACAGTGGGCTTAAAAGTACAATTTTTTTAGTTATATGGGCCAGTGTTGTAAAACTCGCCGAGTTGTCCAATTACTCCTCCGAGTACTCACAACTCGTCCACTTACTTAATGATGTTGTAAAACTCGGTCAAATCGGTGATTAATATGTATAATATACTTAATGATTTATTATTTAACACACACAGATCTGATTATTACTACATATATATATATATATATATATATATATATATATATATATATATATATCTCTTTAATTTTCAACAATTATTTACAAAGTGAGACCATTATGCGTTTTTTTTTTATTTTTTATTTTTTTTATTTTGTATTCATATGCATCTAATGTTGTTATATATTTCAATTAATTTGTATTTTAACTTATAATTTTGACATATTGTAACATACACGTTCAGTTATCGTGTTTGTAGTTTAAAAATAAATAATAGTATGAAATATTATATAATATTGAGCGTTGAGTTCTAACAAATGGTTTTTACTAGAAATGAAGTAAAACTATGTTTAGAATCACTCGGAAAATATTGAAAGTCTTATGAGATTCCAATCAAATGTCAAATATTGAAATTTAACGAAAATATAAAATTTGAATTAAGTAAAATTTTATTATTGTAAGTTGTAAAGAATCTTGCTAGAAACATTTAGGTGAAAACCTCATCGAAATCTGAGTTATAACGAAGAAGTTATGATCAATCAAAGATCTACGACATAACCGGCAAACACTATTAGCGTAAAAATTAAGTTTTCGATAAACTACTTTTTAGCCTTAGTGATTTAAATGAAAGTCATAGTCCTGGTTAAACCGATAATTTTCATAAAAAGAACATCCAAATCTGACTTCGCATGAGGAAGTCATGATTTTTCTGAATTTTGGAATAGTAGTAGACAACTAAAAACTCGAAATAAAGATCGAGTGATTTTTAGCCAATGTAACCTGAACGAGAATCGAAGGTCTTGTAAATAGTAGTACAACGGTAAAAAGAAAGACGAAAACGGACATCGAATGAAGAAGTTATGAATTTTTAACGGACTTTTCATGTCCTGGTCTGTTCAAAATATAATAATAAAAATAAATTCAAAATTAGCCAACGGAGTCTAAACAAAAGTTGTAGAGCATAATTTCACCTACGCGTTCATATAAAGAACGTCAAAAATGGAGCTCATATGCATAAGTTGAGGATTTTTGAAGTTCGGGACACAAAATCCGAGAAATCACGAGAACCGAGAAATTTCGCATGGCCAGGGTCCAGCCACGTCACCCTCGCCAGCAGCTTGCCCCGTGTCTGAGTAGGTGACTCATTCTATGCACAATCCAACAGAATTCTGAAGCGTGCCTCGAAAGTCTGATGCGTGTAGCATCCGAAGCCAGCTGTCCACCGCGTGTCTCGCCCTCGCACCTGCCACCTGCCTGGCTTCGCCTGTCGCCACGTGCTTCTCTCATTCTGCCAATGTCATACCCCGAAACCGGAACGGCGGAATCGTTCCGGGGTGGAGGACGTCATGTTTACCATCACAACCATTGTACAATCGCAATCATAGTAACACAACCATTACAATGAATATATATATATATATATATATATATATATATATATATATATATATATATATATATATATATATATATATATGAAAATTGTTTACAATAATTTGGAACTTGTTTTAAATACACTAAAAGTATGTAGAATATAAAAACATGACTCTTATTACTCCGACTCCTCTTAATCCAAGAAGTACTTGTCTACTGATTTCCTGAGAATACAAGTAGTTTGAAAGAATATCAACATAAAGCCGGTGAGTTCATAAGCATTTAGTTTTGGTGGAAAATTGTTTTCTTTGATCCTTTTGAAAAGTGTTCATCAAGAAAATCCTATATTTTCTTATTAAAAGTGTGTTTGAGAACTCATTCCTTCCATGACTTCCAGATTCATACAAGATATGTACAATCCAAGGTGTCATGGAATGAATATGAACATTCGTTAGTTACTTGTTAAACCATCCGATTATGAAATGTCGAGTTATCCCGGGAAAATCCTATATTTTCACTAAAAGTAGGTTGTTGGTTATCCGTTCTAAAATGAAGTGTACAAGTATCTACCATACTTATATTGTTAAACGTAGGTTCCTTGAAAAACCTTGGTTACTCCCAGTGAAGTATATTAGCCTTATTACATAAATAAAACTAAAAATACATGGTGAACTAAATCCTGAAGGTATTATTAATACCCTCTAGTAATCAAATCGGTTATTACTTTGAGGTTAGCTCACTTGATTCATTATTACAAGAGTAAATCTTTGCTATCTGGGTTGCGAGTTTTATAACCATACATTAACTTGATATGGGACGTATCGAGGCCAGTATCCTTTATGAGTTTGTCACCCGTAGACCTGTCGGTCCCACTGTAGCTAGCAGCGACGTGTGGGATAGTTAGTCTCGTATAGATCTATACACAACAGTCACACTCTCCCTACAAGAGATTCTGGTTACAAGTGCTGGTCCTACACTCTGATTTTGTGGGATTGTTACCAAGGACGTGTCTCCAACTTTAACTAACAAACTTACAAGTAATAATACTGGAAATCCTGTTTATGATTTGCATGAGTCCTTAATAAAATAATACATTTTACTCCATGATTCACAAGTGCGTTACCCTAGTTTTGAAAACTGTTTCTACGTGTTGGTTTCTTAATTGTTTGCTAAAAATTGTTTTCCATGTTAAAAGGATATTGAAAATATTATTAACTTAAACAAAATAATATATTTTGAGCACAAGTTTCCTTGTACTTTTTCTTGTATTACCCCCTGAAAACATGAAAACTTGGAAAAACGTAGGGTGTGAACTCAGCTTAAACGAGTGGCTTGATTGAAGGATCGATATGGAAAGTTGGATGTTCAAGTGAACCGTTGAACACAATTTGATCCTAAATAACACGTAATGACACATAAATGAGTCAAATGAGGGTATTTCACTACTAGATGTGATGGAGCACCACTCTAGGGACTTGGAACTACTTGCACTAAGTGTTAGGACCTTAAAGGATTGTATGAGTGAGGTGTATGGCCACCTTAAAGGTGTGTGCGGCCATAAGTGTGCGGCCCAAGCGGTGCGGGGCCATACACTCATGATAAGGGGTGACTTTGTGGTGTTTTCAAGGTCCGTACTTGCATCTATGAAGTGTTCTAGGTCTATATTCTATTGTAGTGCAAGTTAAGGGCCATAGAAGTGGGTTTGTGGTCCTAAGGTGTGTGTGGGGTCGCACACGGGAGTGTACTGCCGCACACAAGGAGTGTGGTGCTGCACAAGTGTGTTTTCAGTTGTACATAGGTGTGTGCAGTCATACACCCCACATGAAGATGTCCAAAATGTCAATTCCAAGGTGCATTAAGGCTAGGGTCATGTCTATCTCGAGTATAGAAGTCAAACTCTCACTTTGGAGGGTTTTTAAGAGTGTGCGGCCACCTTAAAGGGGGTGTGCAACCGCATTCACTTCCAAACACGAAGAACATCATGGGTATTGCACACTTAAGGCTTATATAGAGTGGTATTTCATGGATATCAAGTTAGAGGATGAATTACTCACGTTCTTAAAGCTTTGGAGGGTTCACGGTTGAAGAAGCTTGAGAGAATGGAGTAGTGTGCAGCCAAGGAGTGAAAGGAATGAAAGAAAAGGGGTCTACCCTTTATATAAGAGTGGGTGTGCTGCCAGGAGGTGGGTGTATGGCCGCACACCCATGTGTACGGCCATACAATCCTCCCAAAGGAGTGTATGGCCCGGTTTTGCTACTATATGTTGGATTAATGTCTAAGTCCATAACTATAATTGGTAAGACTTGACCCGACCCGGCATGGTCCATTTGGGTTGCATGGCATCATGCACTTGGATAGACTATGATGAGAGAAATAAGACACTTATGGTTATTAATATATTATAAGTTCTAGTATATTAATAATA